CTTCCTGAAAAAGCTTTGAAAATTTATATCCTCAACTACACGTTTATACTGTAAGTTTATTCTATATCTCAACTTCACTATCAACATCTAAACTTGAATGTTGGCTGCTGGGGCAGGGACTGGGCTCTTCATTCATTCAGCACAACAACCATATGGTAAATGCTCGATTAATCGGTATAAAGCACAAAAAAAACACACCGCACATACAGGTAGAAAGAGAGTTTCAGGTAAGTACCAATGATAACGCTAGACCCATGTGAAGGAAGTAAATTACGTGTTCCCATAAAATACTAGACCCTTTTTATATCAGATTTTCCAACTCCACTGTCTTTCTACCACAGCAACGTCCATAGTCCTGCATTTGCGCGTTTGTTTTAACGCACACCAGACGCAGGCCTCAGCGCAAAGAGCGCGCAAGGGGAACCTGGACATGCGAACAATCAAGCTGCAGTCAATCGGCCCGGTGGCAAATCAAGGTGCGCCAGACCATCCTTCACAAATCAGTGCTCACACGTTACATCTCCTTTATTCAGGGCGCACGCAAATACCCCACCATCGCTCTCCTGATTCACGGCGCATACACCACTGCCAACAAAGCATGTGCCCGTTGCCATTCCCAGAACAATACAGCTCAGGTCATCCCCTGGAAAGATAAAAACGCACATTCCTCACACCCTTTATGCCCACAGGACTTTCCTCACTCTCACTTAAATCACTTCTCCTGCACAAGATGCCAAAACTCAGTTACAATTAAAGAAGAGACTTTGCTAAGACCATTATGACCAAAGAGAAACGTTACCTTGAAGCGCATCTTTTCATTCTAACAGTACCTGTACCCAGCCACCCGCAGGACTAAAAAGTTGCACAGGAGACAGCCAAAAACAAAACCAAACCCTGGGACACGCATACCACAAGATACATGCTCCGAAAGCCAAGAGATACCTTCCCAAACGACTGGGGAAAAGAGGGAAACGTCTCATTTTTCCTACACACACCTAGACCCAGCACACCTAGACCCAGGACGAGCTAGCGGAGGGTGGGGGGGAAGGAAGGGGCTGCATTTCACCTCCTCGCTCACCCGGTGACAACTCCGGCCCTAGGAGCGAGTGCATTTAATAACTATTCCTTCCTAGCAGCCGTGCGCAGCCCCAGGCGCGAGTGACACGGAGGCAGGAGAGGGTCGCCAGTGCCCCCCACAT